GCAAATGAATCTCCCCACACTTCCTCCCTCACCAAGGGCCATGCTATGGGTCTCTCCACAGCAACCAAAGCCCAGGGAGGGGAGCAGGCCGGCATTCTGCAGTCAGAGCCAGATGGCTGGGTCTGTGACTGAAGCCCCGTGGCTGGCGGGGAAGGCCCCGGGGGCCGGCTTGAGCTCCCGAGCAGGCTTTCGTGAGGGAAGGCCGGGATCGCCACCCGCCTTGCTGGGTCCTGACTGTTGGCCTTCCGTTGCCCCCACCTGTGGAGGAAACGGCGGCAGGGTGGGGTCTCCCCAGCTTCTAGGTCAGTGCAAGGTCAGCCACAGTGCCCAGGCTGTGGGTCACCGTAATCCCCACGTGACCATTTCTGTTCATGCCAGAGGCTTATGGAGCGCCCACCACCTACCAGCTGAGGGGCAGGCCGGAGGACACAGGAAGAGCTTGGCCTGAGGGCAGAGGGAGCAGGTGAAGTGGATAATCACCGAGTCCGGGTAAGAGGCACTGTGAGTCAAGTCTGGTGACTCTGGGGCCAGCCTGATCTCATTTTGAAACCTGGCCTGGCCACTTGTTGGCTTGTTTCTTTGAGGAAGCTGCCTAACCTCTCGGAGCCTCAGTTCCTCACTCAGTAATAATCGCATCAGACTTGTCAGGTAGTGATGGGAATGAGAGATAGAAAGGCCGAACCCACAGCTCGAGGATTAATGGTATGACTGATGTCTATACTCGATCCCAGGGGGAACGTGTGGGGTGGGGGCTGGAGGCGGCATTCAAGGAAGCAACAAAAGGTGAAGCATAATTAAGCTGGATCAGGAGGAATGAGCCGTCTGGCTCACCAGGGAAAGAGGGACAGCGGTAGAGGGGGCTGTGTGAACAAAGCAAAGGCACAGAGGTGTGAACGCGCACAGCGTGGCAGGGGGGCTCGGGGGGGCGGGGGCAGGTAGGCTAGGCTTGGCCTTGAGCCTGCAAGCGAGCGCACCTCTGCGGGCAAGTTTTCAGGAAGGGGGAAGATGATCTGTTTCCTGGCCACAACACTAAGTAACACTGATTCATGGGATCAGAAAGTTAGCCCCTTTTCAATTTTCTTTCAAGCCTTTGACTCCATCAAGAGGAAAACGCTTGACTTCTAATACCTAAGAGCTGTGATCAGGCCTTAAAGTGACTATTTCTGCAGGCAAGTGTAACCACCAAGAATCTGTAACATTGTTATGTTTTGTTTTGATGATTATCTTCTATTAGGAGTAAGAGGCTTTCCGCTTACAAGGGTGATACAAACTTTCTTTGTAAGATACATTTAAAAAAGAAATGCTTAAAGGAAAATACTAAGGAAATGAAGGTACAAGGTGAGATGCAGAAAGCGTAAACATCATAAAGGCTGGACCCAAATGACCGAACTTCAGGAAGTGCTGCTGAGGCCACCAGGGAATCACCCAAATCCTAAGCCAGGGAGGGCTGGGGCCACATCTGGGTCTTGGAGAAACAACTGTGATTGCAGGGAGAAGCCAGGTGCTGGGGCCTGGTCAACAGAGCCAATCCAGGTAGCAAATGGGGCAGGTCTGCCCTAGGGCAGTGGGCTTCAGAAGGACCTGGGGGGAGACACTCTGGGCACAGACAGGCTGCAGTCCGTGACCTGCTGGGTGGTGGCGGAGGGAGAGGCAGCCTTATGTCTGTTCTGTGAGCTGTAAACGTGTCTAGGTCAGGGTCTGTCGCTCTGATCTGGATGTTTCTATTGTCTCCCATCAGACTGGGAGCCTCTTGGGGGCAGTGTTGGCACCCCTTACCTCTTTTCCAACTTCCCAGAGTGTCTGGACTCTGTATGGAGAGGGAGACCTGTAGGGAGACCCAGCTGCATGGGTCACCAGCTGACAAGTCAAGATCTCAGACCAGGGTGACCAACCGCCTTGGTTTGCCTATGACTGAGGGGTTTCCCAGGACACGAGACAGGAAGGAGCTGGTCAGCCCACCTCAGACGGTCCTTGTAGGGCGGCAGCCTTGGGCTAGAGCCTGTTGGGCTGGAGTTGCTGGCCTATGGGGCCGAAGTGAGAAGCCCCCAGTCTGCATGGGCCCCAGTAATCATCAGTTCGTGTTTATATGAACAGCACCATCCACCTCGAAGCTGGTCCCCAGCCTTCTCGAAAAGGCTCAATGACCTTAGTCCTTTTCGAGAAAATATAGTTCACCCTGATTAGAAACCTCCTGGCCCCACCCTCAAATCTGGCTCCCGTTCAAGTTTCAGAGTTCAAAGGCCTCAACGATGTCACTTTCCAGGCATGGCAGCTGTTCTCAAAGGGAAGTCTCCAACCCTGACATTTAGGGCCCCAAGTGACTAATTCCACCCCATTCTCCAACCAGAATTTCTCTAATTCTTTGAAGTAGTCCTCCTGTTCCAGCTCATATGGCCTGCTCAGGGTTCTATGCCTGTCCCCGCTCCTTCCCCCCCGTCCTCTCCTCCTCTGTTCCACCTGCGCGGAGGGCTCCCTTCACACATATTCCCATGCCTGAACTCCACCCAAACCTTAAGCTTTGGCTCAAGGCATCTCTCCATGAAGCCTCTCCACATCCTCCAGGCAGAAGATGCTCCTGGCTTCTCTGATCCTCTTCCAAAGCCTACTGGTCCCTGGGGCAGCTGGTCACCCCTGCAGGTGTGGTCACACGCCACCCTGGACTGAGCTAGCCTGGAAACTGCCCGAAGGCAGGGTCAACATCAGATTTGTTTTTGGCCTCCCACCTCCTCCGCCTGTACTCAGGAGTCAGCATATAGAATCAACACATAAGTGATTAAAGCCATAATGCCTAATTGGGAGAAGTTCCAACTATCTCTCCATCGGTCACCTGGGGACAGCAAGGAGGGCCTCTACAGAGGCTCATCCATTCAGCCAACATCCCTGGACCCTCAAGCAGCAGACTAGGTGAACAAGACCCTCACTGTCCAGGAGAGGCTGCTGGGCCTGCCCAACAACTTTGTAACAATCACCGTGCAGCACAGGGCCAAGAAAAGAAGGACAAGGAGCTCTGGGAATGTGTCATGGAAGGTCTGGCCCAACTGGGGTCATGAAAGCATCTCAGAGTACAGAGTACCTGGGTTGAGACATACGAATGAAGACAGTGTGGCCACCGAAGACCAGAGACGTGTCCCTGTGGCCATCTCAGAAGAGAAAGCAAGGGGTTTGGGAGTCAAGGCACACAGTCCATCTCCATGCCTCCACTCCCTGGCCATGTGTTCATCTGCCTCAGTTTCTGCATGAGCACAGTGGGGCTGTGGGGAGGTTTTGTGGGGATAATGGATGGGAAACACTCAGTACACCGTCAAGCACTCCCCAAACATGGGGGATTACAGTTGTTATTATTACCCACACTGCTCACAGGAGGCCAGAGGATTCCAGGCAGCCAGCTCTCCAAGCTCAGGCTGAGCTGGATCATAATCCTGCCCATGATTAGCCCCAACTTGGAGGGAGGAGAAACGGGCTGCCACGGGGCCTCCCCCGTTGTCAGGTGGACTGCCCAGGTTCAGACTGCAGGATGCTGAAGGAGCAGAGTCGGGTCTAGGAGGCCAAGCAGTGAGTGGCCCAGGGTCACAAGGGGGGAGGAAGCTGGCTGCAGGCAGAGGAAGACAGCAACCGAGGGCATGGCCGAGGACAGGCCTAGGCAGAGGAATGAGACGCAGAACAAAGAGCAAGAGAATATCCTCCCCCTTCCTGCCCACCCTCGAGTTGCTCCAGAGAATCAGTGGACCAACTTCCAGTGCTGGATGCAGCAGGCTCTGACATTTACAGGCTACCGGGTCTCTTCAAGGCCAGTTAGATGTTTAAAAGCCTGTCTGAAAGCCACTCTGTTAGGGGAAGGAACCGACCACGGACCGGAAACCCCTGAGGTGTGCAAACAGCCACGTCACTTCTCCACAGGAAGGAGCTGGGGTGGAGCAAGCTGAGATTAAGGCCCTGGCCCCAGCACCCAGCCTCCCAGGGGGACCCACACTAGTCTAGGAGGAATCAAGGGCTGTCTGTGGCGCCTGGAAGCACAGGTTCTTTCTAGCCACACTGGCCTTCCTACTGTTCTTAAACATACCAGCTCGTTCACTGCTCCAGGCTTTCGCTTTTACTATTTCTGGATTGCATATTACTGGCTCCCATCACACCATTCAGGGCTCCTCTCAAGGACCACCTCCTCCTAGAAGCTTTCCCAGATCACCTACTCTAAACAAGCCCACTCCCTACACCTACTGTGCTCTTCCTCCAGATACCCACACAGCTCAATTCCTCATCTCTTCACATCTTTGCTTCTTTGCTCAGAAGTCACCTCCTTCATGAAGCCTTCCCTGACCACCCTATTTAAAACCATATACCCTCCCCCAGCTCTCATCCTTCCTCCCTGCTTTCCTCTTTGACATCCCAGATGTTTAATTACTAACGGTCCTTCTCCTCCTGCTGGAACGTCAGCTCCAAGAGGGCAGGGGATTATTGTCCTATTTGTTCACTACTGTATCGTCAGCATCTAGAAAAGTGCCTGGCACATAAGAGGGTTTCAACCAATGTCTGACGAGAGAATGAGTAAGTACACGAATGTTTAAGGGCAGAGACTCTGGTCAGACTCTATGAAATCTCATCCCAGCTCTTCCACCTACTGGGTGATCTTGGGCCACTTACTTTGCTCCTCTGAGACTCAGTGTAACCAGTAAAAGGAGAATAACAACAGTCCTTGTCTCATGGGATTACTGGGGGATGAAATAAGATCACGCATGTAAAGAGGTGAAAAGCCCGCCGGGCCCCCCGTGAGCGCTCAGTACTAAGCTGGCGGCCACCACAGCCTTCATTTGCCAGCATCTCTTGCTTGCTTCGTTGCTCACTGGTTTATCAGGTGTTTCCACTCTGGTGTCCGCTCCAGCCGGCCTTACTTACTACCGCGCCCCCAGTGTCTGGCAAGGTGTGGGAAGAGAAACTCAGGCCTCCTCTCAAATCAAGGAGCGCGGAGCTAGGAGACACAGCTTCAGCCCGAGTAGGAGCCTCACCGATCTGTTTCTCCAGGGCGGCTGCCTCACAGACAGTGGCCCGGGGCAGGATCCCGGGGTCAGTGAAACTGGTCCGCAGCAGGCAGCTCATGACGAAGAAGAAGAGGATGGCAGCGATGATGGGGATGGCGAGCGTCAGCTGGCGGGCCAGGAAGGGACAGCTGTGGGGAGGGGGGGAGAGAGAGAGATGAGCAGATACCCAGAGGGCTCCCTGCGGCACAGGGCTGCAGCACCAGGCAGGTGTTGTCACCCCAGAAACACCCCGCATGCCCATCCGTGCAGAGAGCCTTTCCCTGAGGAAGAGGGACAGCTCCTAGGCCAGGGCCTCGGGCAGCCATCACTAAGTGATCCTGGCGCTTTCCCTCTAAGCCAATAGCAGATACGATCAATAGATCCCAGCACTTTTTTTTTAAATGAGCTAAGGAGAGGAATCTAGATCCCAGCATTCTTAACCCCTGCACTCAGCTGCAGCCTCAGAATCCTTCTAAACACAAAGCCTCAGGCAGCCACTACCAACTCGCTTGAGTCGACCATCCATGAAAATGTTCACTCACTCACTCCACAAATACTGAGCGAGGTCTTACATACGCCAGGCAACACCTTCCCCAAACAGCAGTGGACAAGGGCGCTGTTCCCCAGCCGCCATGAGGCTCTGGTCTAGTGGGGAAAACAGACCTGTGGACAGAGAGGACCCACATAGGACTGTGTGTGCTAACATGGGCAAGAGGAAGACAGCCGAACAGTCAGGGAAGTCTGGCTGAAGGAGATAATGCCTAAACTCAAATCTGAGGAATGAAGAGCGTCAGCCAGGTGAAGGAGGTTAGGCGGAAGAGCATGGTCCAGTCACTGCCACTGTCATCCAAGGGCTGGCATCCCAAGTCAGCGCGTTCAGGTCCCCGAGCCTAGCTGGTCTGGAGAAGAGCCTGTGCACGGGCTGACTCTGAGGCCTGCCCGCACGATTAACTGCTGTCGTCTGCTGTCTTCCCTCCCAGACTGAGAGCGGCACCTGATGGGGTGAGGAGCTGCTACTCGGGAAACGACAGGCCACTGGGAGGCCAGAATCAGCCAAGGAGCTGGCACAGCTGCAGAAAGCAGACCTGTGGACGTCTGCACCCTCCTTCCAGAGCCTCCATCGCCAGAGGCTCTGGCCTCCAGGGAGGTCCTTCCCTTGAAGAGCAGAAACTGCCAAGACCAAGGGCTCCAACGGGACCACACATTCTGCTCCAAACACCTCAGTGGTCCTAGGTCCGAGCCTCAAACAAAGCTGGGCTGTGTCACCCACATGACCATCAGCCAGTTTGTGGATAGCCAGACTCTTTGCGGGATGGGGACTTGAAGTCTGAGACTTGTAGAACCCTCAGAAACACCAAGCCCTGGCTCCCTGATTTTATAGAGGGGGACTCTGAGGCCCACAGCTACATCCCAGGTCGCGTAGCCAGCCAATGACAGGGCTGGGGCCTCTGGGCCCTCAGCAAATACTCTCTACATTCACTCAACAAATATTTACTGTATTGAGTGCCTACTACACACCAGGCCCTGTTCCAGGCACTGAAGACATAACAGTGAGGAGAACTGAGACAGGCAACAAACTAACAGAAAGTATACACGTAGTATGTTCAGATGGTGGCAAGTGGTTCCAGAGAACAAGTAGTCAGGGAAGAGGAATAGGAGGGAGGGGAGTGGTTTGTAATGTTGACAGTCAGGGAAGGAGGGAAGAAAAGTGAGGGACTGAGCCATGAGACCATCTAAAGGAAGGGTATTCCAATCAGTGCGAAGGCCCTGAGGCAGGAATGTGCAAGGAGGCCAATGTGTCTGGAGGAGGATGCATGGGGAGGTGGGGGGAGTAGGAGGAGAGGGACAGAAAGGAAGCCCATTATCAGGGCGCTGGCTCTTATTCGGGAGAGCCAGGGAGGATTCGGGGGAGGGGCACTGGGATCTGACTTAGAATTAAAGGGGCACTCTGGCCTCCGTGTGGCATGGGAAGTGGGACAGAAGCCAGGCACCCTGCTGACAGCCCTGTGCAATAATCCACCAAACCAAACAATGAAGCAAAACCCTTCTCAGCAAGAAAAAGCCCTAGAGAGCCACTCTCTCTTTCCCCAGAGCAACGGGAGAATGTGAGCTTGCTCACTCTCCAGTGTTCCCACGTGCCGGGTCCCTACTGAGGTTTCACCCCAGTTCAGACCCAGGGGTGCTCTCAGCCCAAACCCAAACCCTCCTGCCAACTCCACCAGCCCAAGTGAGGAAGAGCAGAGACAAGGCGAGATGATTCACAAGCCCTCCCAAACCCAGAAGTCCTCCTTTCTCCCTTCTCTGGGGGACAAATCTGTCACCAGTCAAGATACCCACGCAGCCCAGAAGATCCTGCTTCTGAACTGACTGAACCCCACGCTGCAGGGTCACAGGGGTCAACTTCCTCCTGCTCAGGCTGCAGCCCCGGGGCTACTGGAAAAGGAACTTTCAAAACACTCATGTGGGTCAGCCCAGTGAGATGGATCTGAAACTCAGCCCAGGGAACATGCTGGAGGCTGGGGACTCCCCAGAGCTTCTGCTTGTTATATTATCCTGGAACTTCTTATCCACCCTGACTCAGAAAGGAAGGGGTAAAGGGAGAAGCTAATTCATACGAAGTCCTCACCTTGCTTCAAGGGGAAACCCAGGGTTGCAGATACATGATCTGGCAGCTGGAAAGGGGGTGGTGTCTTTGTGGAAGTCTCAGCGTGGCCAAAGGCCCTTAGGAAGTGCTTTATGGTGAAGCCGACAGCTAACAGCAGCATCCAGCATTAAGTGCTCGTTCCTGGTTAAAAGCTTACATACATGACCTTGTGCCACCCTCATGATGACCTATTATAAATCCCATTTTATAGACGAGGGCACTGGGGCTCTGAGGTGAAGGGACTGCCCCGAGGTCATGCAGTCTGCAGGTGGTGCAGGCTGGGGCTGGAACCAGGTCCGTTGGCTCTGGAGGAGTTGTTCACCACACCGCACAGTTAAGGAAGACCACAAAGGATGGAGAGAACTAGGAGGGGAAGTGTGAGTGTGTGTGCAAAAGACTCACACAGCAGATGGCTCAAGCTAGAGACCAAGTTTTCCAAGCTGGAAAACTTCCGATACAAAAATGCGACCCTGGGAAGTGACAAGCATCCCCTCTTCCAACCAGAAAATGGAGATACTGTGTGGACCAATCCTGGGTCACTGGGGATCAAAAGCCCCCAAGGGGGCAAATAAGACCTGTCACACCAAAGCACTCTGGACTCTGGAGAAATAACAAGGCCCTGCAGCTGTTCCTGCCGTGGGACAGGCGGGGGGGGGGGGGGGGGGGGGTGTATGCTCCAGAATGTTGAGAAGGCAAAGAAAACCAGGAGGTCAGAGGTGGGGGGCAGGGGCTTGACGGAGTCTGAGGAAAGGCTGGGAAGTGCTGGGGAAGCTAAGGAAGGTGTTGGAGAGAGGAGGGAGGCCTGAGAGGCCCAGAGCTGTTTGGGAAGATTGCCTGAGGGCCTAGAGGGAGAAAGACTGAGGGGAAAGCAAGGGGGGAAAGGTCTGTGCTAGAGAGATAAGAGGGGACCCCAGAGGGGACCCAAAGGCAGCCAGGAGATTTGTAATGGGGAGCATAAAGCCAAAGGACACGGAAGAAATTCAGAAGTTGTCTGGAAGGGACAGAAAGCAAAGACGCTTCGAGGGGTCGGAAAGAAGCTGGGGGGGGGGGGCGGTAGTGGGCAAGGAGGTCTGGGAGGACTGAGCCAGGTTCTGAGAGGGCACTGAGGGTGGGGCTGTGAAGGCCATGGGAGGGCGGGGCTCCTGGCAGAGGCTGGGTGCCAGGGAAAGGCCGTGAAGGATGGGGGGACGGGCCACAGAGGACGGGGCATCCGGATGGGCGAGGGAGGATGGGGGTGGGTAGGTGGAGAGGGCCCGGGAGGGCAGAGGAGAGATGCCAGGAGACTGGGAAGGCCTGGGGGCAGATCCCGAGCAGAGGGCGCAGGGCACAGGCCCCGGGGGAGCTGGGAGGGGCGGGTGCCTGGCAGGTGCAGGGAAGGGTGGAGCGCCCGGGGACGTGGGAGAGGAGCGGCGGCCCAGCGGGGGCCCAGAGGGGCTGGAGTGCCCACGCAGGACCCGCGCAGGTGGGGTGCGCGGCAGGGGGCGGAGGGGGCCGGAGGGGGCCGGGCGGCCGAGGGGGCGGGGCCGGGGGCGCCGCGGGACTCACTCGAAGACGAAGAAGAGGACGGTGGTGGTGAGGATGAGCAGCAACGTGAGCGCGAAGACGCCGCCGTGGCCGGCCAGCATGAGGCGGCCGCCGCAGTAGAAGCGGTTGCGGCCCGGGAACACCTCCCACTTGCGCCGGGGGCGGCGGCCGATGCTCCCGCTGCCGCTGCCGCTGCTACTCCAGCGGGGCGCAGCGGCGGGCGGCGGGGGCCCGGGGCCCGGGCCGGGGGGCGCGGCGGGGCCGGGGCGGCGCGCCCCAGGGGAGGCGGGCGGCGGGGCGGCCCCGGGGCTGATCTGCTGGTACTCGCAGTCCTTCATGCGGCCGGCCGCGGGCCTCGGCTCGGCGCCCCGCGGGCCGGCCGGGCCGCACCGGGACCGGGGCCGAGCAGCGGAGGTGGTGCTGGTGGCGGCGGCGGCGGCGGCGGTGGCGGCGGCGGCGGCGGCGCGCGGCGCTCGCTCGCTGGGGGCGGCCCCGCCGCTGCCCCGCCCCGCCCCCCGCCCGGCGCGGCCTCCCGCCGCAGCGCCCCCTCCGCCTGGGCCCGGGATGGCGCTCGCGCCCCGCGGCCGGGTCCGGCTCCGCTGCGGGGCCCTGTCCTGTCCCTGCCGACCCTGAGCCGCGGCGGTCCCCTCTGCACAACCCTGAGCGCGAGGGTCCCCTCGCGCTCCCGGGAGCTTTCTGTTGTTTTGCAATGAAAGCATTTGTTGGGCGTCTCCTGGGTGCCAGGCACCTTGCCAAGGGCCGAGATTCGAGTGGTGGACTTCTTGATCTACTTCTGACGATCTGTAATTCCAGGGCCAGGCTTCACCCATCTCTGAGGACTGATCGGATAGGTATGTCGGGCGGTGGGGGGGGGGGGGGGGCGGCAGGCAGGGATAGGGGTGGGGGGACAGTCTGCTGTGAAACAAAACCAGGGGCCTGTTAACTACTATCTTGAAGTTCAAAGTGCCTAGGGGGTATGTGCGGCACATCCTCTGGCCTCCCTCACCCAGCTCTGTGATCTGGACCCAGACCAAGGATTTTCTAGCTATCCGGGTTGATGTAGGGTTGATGCCACAGTATTTTTCAAGAATTTTGGGTGTATTCATTTTCCAAATTGCTGTGTAACAAATTATCACAAATTTAGTGGCTTAAAACAACACACATTATTGTTTCATAGGTTCCAGCTCAGGAGTGCCAGCCTGGTCAGCTGAATCCTTTGCTCTGAGTCTCAGAAGGCTGTAATCAAGGTATCAGCAAGGCTGCATCCTCATCTGGAGACTCAACTGGGGAAGAATCCACCTGCAAGCCCATTCAGGTTTTGTTGGCAGAACTTATTTCCTTTCAACTGTATGACTCAGGGCCTGGGGTTTTTGCTGGCTGTCAGCAAAACAGCAAAACAGTTCCAGAGGCCATCTGCAGTCCCCGGGGGTTACCGCAGTTCCTTGCCATGTGGGCTTCTCCAACATGGCTGCTTACTTTATCAGGCCCACAAGGAGAGTCTCTAGTTCCAGTCTGCTAAGACAGGGTTTCACGTAATGAAACTTATTATGTATGTAGTGGGAGTGACTACTTTCCCATCACTTCTGCCATATTCTATAGGTTAGAAGAAAGTCACAGGTCCCACTTGAACTCAAAAAGAGGATCACACCTTTGTGTGAATACCAGGAGGCAGGAATCACTGGGGGTTATCTTAGGTTCTGTCCACCACATTGGGATTACTGGAAAACCCAAGGAAAAGTATAAGAAAAGAGAGAGCTGGAGACTAGTATAGGAGAGAGTAAGAAACAAAATCAAAACACATGATGCAGGGGCACCTGGGTGACTCAGTTGGTTGAGCATCCGACTCTTGGTTTCAGCTCAGGTCATGACCTCAGGGTTGTGATATCAAGTCCCAGGTTGGGTTCCACGCTTGGCATGGAGTCTGCTTGTGATTCTCTCTCTCCCTCTCCCTCTGCCCCTCCCCCCCCGCACCCTCTCACTCTCTCTAAGATAAATTAATCTTAAAAAAAAAATACATAATGCAGAGGGGTAGAAAGGTAACAACAGTGACCTCAAGGATCACTAATTGTTATACATGCCAGAGGCTGCCCAGCCATGCCCTTGGTGCCAAAGATTCTGGGTTTGATGAGCCCCACCTTGGAGTGAATCACATTGTGGGCTTCCTCCCCTCTTGTTCCTTGGCTGTAGAACAAAGTTAAAAACTGGACATACTGGTTTCAGTATAGATTCCTGTTGTCCCACCCAACTGGGTTCTTTTGCAACCCTAAACCTTTGCTTGCTCCTTGTCACTACAGAAACTCAAACTAACTTGCTTGATTTCAGCTTCCCTCCTCTCTACCTCATAATTTTTCCCTATTTGCATTGATCCTTGCCTCTCATCTTAAAGATGTGGGCCTCTTTCTGCCCATGGCCAGTCTTCCATTCATGTCCTACTTCTCTCTCTGTTCATAGAGACTGCAAACACATGCTCCATTCTCTATCTATTAAAAAGCAGGGGGCACCTGAGTGGCTCAGTTGGTTAAGCCTCAGACTCTTGATTTTGGCTCACGTCATGATCTCAGGATCCTGAGATCGAGCCCCACATTGGGCTCAACGCTGGCCATGGAGCCTAAAATTCTCTCTTCCTCTCCCTCTGCTCCTCCCCCTACTTGTGCATGGGCATGCACGCTCTCTCTCTCTCAAATAAATAAATCTTTAAAAACAAACAAACAAACAAATAAAGAGCAAAACTAAACTAAAATAGCAACAATAGAAACAGCATTCCATGTTGGCTGCCTCCTCACTCTAGTGTCAGGTTTATCTTTTTCTCTCTCATTTAAAGAGTAGCTCTCACTTCCATGTCACCTATTCACTTACTACTTTTTAAATTTAGCCTCTGTCTACATTACTCCCCTAAAACTTCTATCTTGGGGCACCTGGCTGGCTCAGTGGGTAGAGCATGCAACTCTTGGTCTCAGGGTTGTAACTTAAGGCCCCACATTGGGTGTAGAGGTTACTTAAAAATAAAATCTTTAAAAAAACCCACCGGGGGGTGCCTGGGTGGCTCAGTTGGTTGAGTGACTGCCTTCGGTTCAGGTCATGATCCTGGAGTCCCGGGATCGAGTCCCGCATCGGGCTCCCTGCTCGGCAGGGAGTCTGCTTCGTCCTCTGACCCTATCCCCTCTCAGGTGTTCTCTCTCTCAAATAAATAAAAATAAAATCTTTAAAAAAACCCACCGGGGCGCCTGGGTGGCTCAGTTGGTTAAGCGACTGCCTTCAGCTCAGGTCATGATCCTGGAGTCCCGGGATCGAGTCCCGCATCGGGCTCCCTGCTCAGCGGGGAGTCTGCTTCTCCCTCTGATTCTCCCCCTCTCATGCTCTCTCTATCTCATTCTCTCTCTCAAATAAATAAATAAAATCTTTAAAAAAAAAACCCACCTTCTATCTTAAATGTCACCAATGGCCCATTTAGTGTGACATAAACTACTCATCTCACCAACACTCACAGTTCCCAGCCTCTCTTACAGATGGGTGTGACCAAGTGAATGAACTCTGGCTAATGGAAGGCAAGTGAAAGTGACAAGCTGGCTCATAAAACTCCCCGGTGCTAATCTTTGCTCCCGTTCCCACCTGCTAGCCGAATGAAGGAGACTGAGTCAAACCAGATGTGCCCATTCCAAATTTCAGGGGCCCACTCCTCCTCCATCACCTGAAAGACTTAATAAGACTGCATTCAAGGGGCACCTGGGTGGCTCAGTCGTTTAAGCATCTGCCTTTGGCTCAGGTCATGATCCCAGGGTCCTGGGATCAAGTCTAATGTCGGGCTCGCTGCTCAGTGGGGAGTGTGCTTCTCCCTCTCCCTCTGCCTGACACTCCCCACCCCCCCCAGCTTGTGCTCTCTCTCTGTCAAATAAATAAAGTCTTTAAAAAAATAAGACTGAATTCAACTGTTCTAAATCTGCAACATGTGCAATATTCTATTTGTAGCAAATAAATCTGGGGCTAGGAGAAATAAGAGATTCTCTTATGGTTATCCTGGAAGCTCTATGACTCTGACCATGACTTAGCTTGAGAGTTTAAAGACCCAAGCTTGTCATCTTTTTCGTGCAAGGACTCTGATGCATTCACAAGCATTCCTGCCATACCAAGTCCCCATAGTCATCATCACTGCCATAATAGTCTAGTGCAACACTTGGGTCCCCAAGGCACTTGCTTGAGTTGGCAAGTCATCCCAAATAACCACAAGTTATAATTTGATTAATCATGATGCCACAGCATGCCGTGGATTAGTTGCATTGCATTTCTCATTGGCAAGGAGCTCAGCACATTGAAACCCAATGACACAACCAAACCAGATCCCTGTTCCCATCTTTTGAGGTCTATTTCCTGGGACCCCCCTCCTAGTACCAATTTCTGTATCAGTCAGGGTCCAGCCAATGAGTCAGAAGCTATACCAGTCATTGGACAGAGAGAGTTTAATATAAAGAATAGCTGGAAGAGTTAACTAGGTACAAAGCTGTTAACTAACTGAAAAGGTAAAAAGACAACTCTGAGATACCATGGAGCAGCAACAGCAGGAGGCATCTATACCTCATAGAGCTAGGAAAACAAAGGGAAGCATCTGGAATGACAAAAACTTAGAAGATTAGAAGAGGGGCTCCACAGAGCTGAAACTCAGACCTCTAAGTCTGGTGCTGGTGTCTGGTGTCTGAGAGGGAGGAAGGACCAACACTGCTGAGGACAGTGCCACCTGGCTGATGCTGGTGTCTCTGACTGCGACACCATGAAGCTGGTTCTGCAAAACCAGCTGTTGAAAAACTCTGCAAAGTGGATTCAGCTGCTGCTACAGGAAGGCCCGGCTGCTGCCCAGGTGAAGGAGCTTTGCTAGAGTGACCTCACAGGAAAAGGAAGCGAACAGAGGGAGGGAGCTTCCCTTCCTCCTCTGGACTCACTATCTCCCTCTGGTGGCCCTTACCGGCAGAGCCACACACAGAGCCAGCTGACAAAGCAGAAATGGATTTGCTGAGTCCCAGCTCCAGTATCTCATAGTAGAAAGCAGAAGAGTGGGCTTAGAGCTGAGAGACAATAACCTACTAACTAGCATGGGCGCTTTTATAAAGCATTAGAAGAAAGAGGTGAACTTAGGTGAGAATTAGCTGGTTTTCAAGCAGAGGTGGAAGGGAAATAAAGTCCAGAGATAATGGGCCTTTCAGAGTCAGAAAAGCTGACTGCTTCTAGACAACAAGTAGTCTAAGATTGAAAAAGGTCTTGAAAGATGTGAACACCTGTAAGGCAAATATCAGCTTATTATTTCACATGACTTTGGTGTAGCCATCATTACATTAAGAGTGAGGCAAGGGGGAGCGCCTGGGTGGCTCAGTTAGTGAAGCATCTGCCTTCCATTCAGGTCATGACGCCGGCGTCCTAGGATCGAGCCCCACATCAGGTGCCCTGCTCAGCGGGGAGCC